TTCTTCCATCTACAAAAATAGAAATAGTTTTCATGTACTTTTTATTTACGAAAATTTAATGGCGTCGTCTTTCGGTGAGGTATGCTTTAAATGCTTTGAGAGCGAAACGTGGGCGTTGGATTTTCATTGATCAAATTACTTGTTCTGGAACAAAGTAAATTCAATTATAACTCAGAAAACTGTTCTATTGGAATATTTCGAATTGTTAAGAATGTAAAAGATTTGGAATTTTTATCCAAAGATTGTTGAGAAAGGGTGAATATAATTTACGCTCTAGTTATGTATATTTTTGCTCCAAAACTTTTGTTGAAAATTCATTGATTGTAACTAATTCAGTTTCCCTAAAATTCTTTAAAAATAACAGAAATTAATTTAATTACAATGAATAGGTCTTGAACAGTTTGACAAAAAAATGAATAAATAAATAAAAAAATAAATGCAGACCTAATTGTAATTTACTTTTAAAAATTTTTTTTTGCATTATTATTATTTATTAAAATTATTATTTATCTATTATCTCTTTATCATTTATCTATTAAAGTCAAGCTATTAATTATCATAAAAAATGCAATGTTCTGCAGTAGAATTTTCATTTATCAAATTACTTTCTACGACAATAACAATGTCTATTCTGTCTATTTCTGCATAAAAATTACTTTTCTTAAATCTTTCCTAAAATCGCGTTCTTCATTCTTGCAAACAATTAGCTAACAATTTAAACAAAATAAAAAAAAATGGATTGTACAAATTAATTTTAGTTCAACAAATTAGTTTCAATTTCTTTGATTGTATAAAAGCAGGAAATTTCAAAAATAAAACCAGAAAATTTCAAAATGAATAAAAAAGTAAAATATTTTTCCCTTTAGAAGAAGCTATTGTAAGAAAATTAAGAACATGCTACCACATTTACTTAAAGGAAAATGTAAGTTATAACAACTTCCATAAATATTGTATTGCAAATCCTTTTCAGATGTTTCATTATCTTTGAGTCTGTTATAATGTACTTAATAATCTTTAAATCCATTATCAAGGATTTGAGGATTACAAAAAAATTAATGGAATTATTCTTCCGACGACAAAAATAGAAATAGTTTTCATGTACTTACTTTATTTACGGAAATTTAATGACGTCGTCTTCCGGTGAGGTATGTTCTAAAAGCTTTGAGAGCGAAGCGTGGGTGTGGGGATTTTCATTGATCAAATTACTCGTTCTGCAACAAAGAAAATTCAATTATAACTCGCAAAACGGTGCTTCTAGAATATTTTTCGAATTGAGAAGAATGTAAAGGATTTGGATTTTTGTGCAAAGATAGTTGAGCAAGGTTGAATATAATTTATGCACAATCCTCTAGTTATGTATATTTTTGCCCCAAAAATTGCATTTACAATTCTTGCAAACAAAACTAACAATTTAACAAAATATAAATATGAAGTAAACTAATTAATTTTAGTTCAAAAATTAGTTTCGTTGGTCATATAAAAATAGAAATTTTAAAAATAGAATGAGGCATTTTTAAAACGAATGAATAAGCAAAATATTTCCCCTTTAGAAACTATTACTTTTTTACTTTTCATAAATTTTTCATTCTTGAAAATAAAAATAATAATTTAAACAAAATGCAAACATAGACTGTACAAATTTAATGTAGTTTAATTTCCTCCGTCGTATAAAAGCTGAAAATTTCAAAATAAAACAGGAAAATTTCAAAACAAATAGAAAGGTAAAACATTTTCCCTTTACAAGAAACTATTACTTTATTACTTTTCATAATTTTTTTTACAAAATCTCATATTTAATTCATGTAAACAAAACTAGCAATTTATAAATTTGGAATGCACAAACATATTTTAGTTCATGAAATTAATTTTAATTTCGTTGGTCGTATAAAAGTAGAAAATTTCAAAAATAAAACCGGAAAATTTCAAAAATAAAACCAGAAAATTCCAAAAACAAAACCAGAAAATTTCAAAATGAATAGAAAAGTAAAATATTTTTCCTCTAGAAGAAGCTATTGTAAGGAAACGAAGAACATAAATATCATATTTACTTAAAGAAAAATTATTTTATGCAAATCATTTTCAGATATGGCTGTTATAATGCACTTAATAATCTTTAAATCAGTTATAATGGATTTAAGGATTACAAAAAAGAAAATAATGGAATTATTCTTCCGTAGACCAAAATAGAAATAGTTTTCATGTACTTACTTTATTTACGAGAATTTAACGGCGTCGATGAGGTATGCTTTGAAACTTTGAGAGCGACGCGTGGCCGTTGGATTTTCCTTGATCAAATTAATTGTTTTTCAACAAAATAAATTCAATTATAACTCGCAAAATGGTACTTCTATCATATTTCGAATGTAAAGGATTTGGGTTTTCATCCAAAGATTGTTGAACAATGTGGAATGTAATTTATGCTCAATGATCTAGTTATGTATATTTTTGCTCCAAAAAGTTTGTTGAAAATTCATTGTTTGTAATTAATTCAGTTTCCCTGATATTCTATGAAAAGATCAGAACTAAATTTAACTAATAAGAATAGTTCTTGAACAGTTTGATAAAAAAATTTAGAAATAAATACAAACTTTATTGAAATTTACTTTTTTGAAGTTTTGAAGTTAGTCTTAGTTGAATTAAAAAATAAATTTATGTACAAAGAAAAGATTGATTTGTAAAAAGATCTGTATCATAAGATAAAAATAAAGATTCATTTGTAAAAAGATTTATATCATAATGTATATCTTCCTTACTTAAACTATTTTTAGATCAATTTAATCTCAAAGGAAATTTCTATAGTTGTAATATTTAATATTTATTAGTATATAGTTATAATAATTATATAATTATGTAATAATTGTATATTCCTAAAGTTATAATATTTAATAATTATTAGTATGCATAATATTAAGTAATTAAAAACATTTGGTTTATGAACTTTATTCTTTATTGTGATTTTCATTTTTTATTTTTATATCTTGATTTGTTTTCCTTATATTAAAAAATCTTTAAATTCATGATAATGGACTTAAGGGTAACAAAAAATTAATGGAATTATTCTTCCGTCGACCAAAATAGAAATAGTTTTCATGTACTTACTTTATTTACGGAAATTTAATGGCGTCGTCTTCCGGTAAGGTATGCTTTGAAAGCTTCGAGAGAGAAGTGTGGGCGTTGGATTTTCATTGATCAAATTACTTGCTCTGCAACAAAGAAAATTCAATTGTAACTCGCAAAACTGTTCTGGAATAATTCGAATTGCGAAGAATGTAAAAGATGTGGATTTTTCTCCATGGTTGAATATAATTTATGCTCAATGCTGTAGATACATATATTTTTGGCCAAAACATTTTATTGAAAATTTAGAAATATTTAATTAAGAAGAATAGTTCTTCAACAGTGTGAACAAAAATAAAAGAATTTAGAAATAAATACCGACTTAATTGAAATTTACTTTATTGAAGTTTTGAGTCTAGCCTAATTGAATTTAAAACATCTTTATATAGAAAAAAAAAAGGAGATTATGAAATGAAGGAAAGATGATACACATCATTATAGAATGTGTATCATCTTTCCATTAACAATTTTTAGTTCAATTTAATCTCGAAGGACATTTATGCAGTTTTAATATATAATAATTATTAGTATGCATAATATTTAATAATTAAATAAATTCGGTTAATGAAATTTTTTTTTCTCATTTTGATTTTATTCAACATTAAATTTCGTAAATTAACATAAAGAAAATGATTGGTATATTTTAATTTTATATCTTGATTTGTGTTTTTTATATTTATTAGAAAATAATACAATGCAGTATTTACATTAAGAATACAACAATGGAATGAGCAAGAAATTTGAAGAATTTATGTAAACAAAAGCAATTATTTTCTGTATGATTTTCGAGCCCTTTCCTACACTTTTGATTATACTGCTATATAATAATATCCTATATTTTGATTATAACGTCCTATTATTTTGATTTTGTTCAATACCAATTTTTGTAAATTAACATAAAGAAAATGTTGCATATTTTATTTTTGCATCTAGATTTGTGTTTTTATACTTATTAGAATATAATAAAATGCAGTATTTTCATTAAGATTCCAGCAGTTTGATTGAGGAAGACAAACGAGAAATCAAATTAGAAACTTTGAACAGTTACGTAAGCAAATGCAATTATTTTAGAACAGTTTCGAGCCTTGTCTTCACTCATTTCCAAGATGAATTAGTATTGATTAATAAACTCATTTATTTTTCATTAACTTTATTTCAACAACTATTTATGCATATTCAACTTCATGCTCAAATATGCAACTATGCATATGCACATATTATGCAACTACTATGCGTATGCAACTATTTATGAATATATATATATATATTTATGTATATTCTAAAAAGGGGGTAATCTGTTATCGTATTTTCTTGATTAAAAACTGAGGCTATTTTAAAATGTTAGTGATATAGTTGTTAATTATATAATCTTTATCTAATTTTTTTGTAAATAAGATTAAATTTATTGCTTATCCTAGAACAATGTAAGAAAGGTTTCAAGAAAAAAAAAAAGGGGATCTCTCTGTTTCTTCTATGATATTTTCTTGTTCTGTAATTACTATTGTTAGTATGCAGTAATGGTGGTATCTTGAAATTTAAAAACAACTTTAAAATAACAGTATCCAAGCATGCATATATAGAGTGCTGGCAGGCTAGTGACCACCTATCCAAAGCCTATACGTGTATAAACGTGCCTATACAAAGCCTATACGTGTATACGTGTGTGTAAAATATATACGTGTTCAAACTTATGGACACTTCTAACTTAGGCCAAATTGATTTTTGTTAAATATTTATTATTTCCTTAAATTAGTATTTCTCAATTTTATTATCGTACCTGAATTTGTTAAAAGTGTTGTCGTGTTTCATAGTTTAATTTTTATTAAATGTTGATCGGCATTGTTGATTGATATTTGTGTAAGGCTTTTTACAAATTAAATACTAACGGCCATACCATGCTGAATATACCGGTTCTCGTTAGATCAGCATCATTGGGCGCGGTCAGTACTTGGGTGGGTGACCACCTGGGAACACCGCGTGCCGTTGGCATTCACAAATTTGGGACCTGATTTGCCGAGTGTCTAGCGCTTTGGCGCTCGGTGCCACAGGTTTCGGGTTCGAATCCCGGCGGTGCCATGGATGTTTGTAGTGGTTCGAATCCACTTTAAGCCGTAGGTCCCGGTCTCCTGTGACTGTAAGAGCGTCACGGAGCCAAAGTCAGACTTCTACCTACTGGTGCTCCCCTCGCAACAGAAGCTGCTTCCTTCCCCTTCAATCATGAGTACGTATGGGCTAGTGGGCTTGGCCAGCCAAGTGGGATAAGAAACAACAACAACAAACAACAAATTAAATTTTTTTTTATTTGTTCTTAGAGCATTTCTAACTTTGACAAAGTTGGTTGGAACTAACCTTTTCCTGGTTATTTAAATGAAGCAAATAATTTACAGAATTTATTATAATTGATTATAATTTTAAAATCCTCCCAGCCATTTTTACTCTAATTAAAGATTACGCAATTGATATGCTTTCATATTCAGGATCCAACAGTATTGCATTTTTTATTTCAAAATATGGCTCAGAGATGGCGCCACAAAAACTTGTATTGTATAAAATATGACGAGATATTTTGTATTCATAGTTTATTGCAACAGTGGACTCGTGCAGCTCTTTCAATGCTTAAATGCCAGCTTAATAAATATTTAAATTAAATTTGACACAAAAATTATCTGACAATCTATCAAAATCATTTAAGAATTTTCCTTGTTTAAAAGCAAATTTATTTAATATCGAGGAAATTAAAATGAATAAAAATAAAAAATTTTTGAAGCTTTCAAAACCAATTTTAAAACTGTAATCATCCATTCTCTGATATGCTGGTAGCTGCCTGATGGCCGATTGGCTCGCTCTCTGGCCTTTGATACCGCAGGCTTCAAGTTACAATCCTGGCGGGGGCATAGATGTTTGTGAGTGGTTTGGAATGCACGTTAAACTGTAGATGACAGTCTAATTAACCTAAAGTGTAAAAACTTGAACGTAGAGCGACAAACAAAACCGAAGCTGATATGCTGGCAAGAGCGCCGTTTGTAGTGTTCAGGAGAAATGGTAAGTTGGCCTATAGACTTTTACCCGAGAGGAAGTATATTTAGTGCAACCTTGCACTCCTGCCAAGAGCAGTTAGTCTACAGACTCTCATACGAAGAAGACGTATATTTTGCGCAACCCTTCGCAAAATACCATCTGTAAGGTGAAATATTTTCACAAACTCTAATTACCCTACTGTTACTTTAAATATTGTGGAGATTTCAATATCGGACCAAAAGTTCAATACCGGGGTGCCGGTTTTAATACCGGTAGTAGAAATTTTTAGAAAATAAAGAAATCACAGGTCGGTTTTTTTTTTAATTGCCAGTTTTATTAGAGAATGTAAATATCACAAAAACATTCGAAATGGCAAACCATCTAATGCTGTCCTTTTACTTGTAATTTCATCAAAATTATCTTTTTTTTTTTTTTCAAAATAATCTAAAAATCCCTGATGGCTTGGGCTTAGAAACTGTACTTAAGTTTGTTTCTTCATCGTATTTAGATTTTTTTCTTTTAACAAATTTGCATCATGTTTCGTTTTTAAATGTGTATGGAGTCCGCTTGTACTTCCTCCATTCACTTTAATAACATTTGAACATTTTTTACATTGCGCCAAAATATTCTTTTCATCATAAAAATAATGAAACCATACCGAAATATTATCAACTGATTTTTTATGTTCTTTAAAGTTATTCTTATTCATTATTATGGGATATTATTTATGAGTATGTATAAATAATAAATCCGAAAATATTTTGAACTCTAAAAATATGATATGCAAATACAATGTGAATAACAAACCTCACCAATTTAAAAAAATATCGAAATATTACACACTTTCTTCACAACTACAAACTTGTTTTCACAGATAAGAATAAGAATTTCAAAGATAAGAATTCTAAATGTCTAGTATCTAGTATTTAAACTTGTGAATATCGGTATTACAAAATTATACAAATGGCTCAAAAATACCGGTATTCGGTATACCGGTATTGCAATCCCTACTCACACTATAAAACTAAATATGAGTTGTTTCAAATCTACATTTTCATTTTTCATTAATCCATTTATTATTATTCATATAGTTTCTGATCTAATAATATCCGGCCCAGTAGCGGGAGAAATATGAATGAGAAACACGCATTACAAATGCAGCACACTCCTCTTTCGCTGACTGAGTTTTGAAATTGTGCCAAAAACAAAGTATTCTAACTTAAAGAAAGCATCTCGACGGCTATTTTCTATTTTTGGCACAACAATTTCATAAGAATGACTACTTGACAAGGAAGTCTGTCAAGCCAAAATATGTTAACAATTAACTAATCAGCATCTTAAAGAATTGCTGCGAATAGCCTTGGTAAATTACACCACTTTATTTATTAAATAAAAACATATTGTTCATGAGTTTAAATAAATATGAGCTATTTTATCTAATTTTTTTTTAAAAATAGGATATGGCTCCCAAAAGAAATATAGAACCTATGAGGCTCCTGTCAACCAAACTTCTGCCCACTTCTTGACTATAGTGTCATTTGTATCCACTTATTTATTAATTTAAATCAAAATCAATAGACTCTTTATAACAAGAACTTACTTTTATAATGAGTTAATACATACTTATTTATAATACAGCTAATTATTTTTTAAAAAGTTAACTTAATAATTTTTTTTAAATCATTTGAATTATTTTAAATTTTATGGCATTTTCATGAAAGACAAAATTGGGAAAAAATAAGGACAAAAAGGCGGCGAAATATTTTAATTATTTTCATCTAAATGATTTTTAACTTGACTTATATTTATTATTTCTTAATTAATTCATGTATACAAATATTATTTATTATATTTTTATTAAATTTACAAACAGATTAAATAACCAGCCACCTTTAAAACAAACATACACTCAAGAGCCAAAACATTATGACCACCTGTCAATAACGAGTTGGCCCACCTTTGGCGCGCAACACAGCTTCAACCCGCCTTGGCATGGGATTAATACCACCACTTACACCAGTTAAATGCCACTTCCACCTGATCACGTGCCTTCCACGTCATCCAGGCGAATTCATTGCAAAATGTAGGGGTAGTCATAATGTTTTCGCACTTGAGTGTATATTCTTATATCGATGAATTCCTCATCGCTCAATAGCTAGATCTGTATTCATTTCTGCTATTACTATTCAGTTGAATATAATAAATGGGTTGGAATAATCATGCTAGTCTTCATGGAAATTTTCAACCTGGCAATTTCTCTCCACGCATAGTTTAACAATTTCAGAAATAATATTCGCTTAAAAATACTTTTTAGATTTTACTATTTACTGGAGTCCTTCAACACAAAACCTTGAAACCTTTGAGTTGTTGAAATCAATGATTTTTATATCAAGATTTACTATTTGAGATCAATCCATAAAATATATTTTTAACAAAATAATTGTTGATCAATGCTCATAATACTTTGATTAATTTATCACTGAAAAAGAAATTCAAAATAACCTTGCTAAATTGCAGCGAAGGTTGATTTCAATACAATTAATAATTAAAAAAAATTTTTCTTGAACAGAAACTTTCTCCATAACTGTCACTGAAATTCGCTTAATGTCACAACTTCCTCATGCCATCAACTGGGATCCATCAGTTCTAACTTGCCACTCTTAATTATGCATAGTTTCTTTATACACGATTCTTATTTTTTTTAAATAACTATAAAACCTTTTTATGTCAAAACTTACTAAATAAGATCAATCCATAAACCATAGTTTTAACAAAATAATTGTTAATCAATGTTCATAATATTTTGAATAAGTTGTCGTTGAAAAAGAACTTCGAAACAACCCTATTAAATTGCAGCGAACATTGATTTCCCACCATTAATAATTAAAACAATTTTTCTTGAACAGAACTAATAACCATAAACTATAAGTTTTAGCAAAATAATTGTTGATCAATATTGGTAATATTTTGAATAACTTGTCACTAAAAAAAGAAACTCAAAATAACCTTACTAAATTGCAGAGAATATTGATTTCAACACTATTAATGATCAGAAAATTTTTTTTTTTAACAGAAACCTTCTCCATAACTATCACTGAAGTCCGTCTTGTGTCACAACTTCCTTATGTCATCAACGGGGATCCAGCAGTTCTAACTTGTCACTCTAAATTATACATAGCTTTTTTATACACGATTTCTAGTTTTTAAAATAATTATAAAACTTTTTAAGTCAAGACTTACTATTTAAGTTCAAACCATAAACTACAGTTTTAACAAAATAATTGTTGTTCAATAATCCTAATATTTTGAATAAGTTGTCACTAAACAAGTAATAGAAAAAAATTTTGAAGGTCAGTTCCAACTTTTTTCATACTATATTGCAGAAAAGTCCTTCATAAATAATTTTCATTCATTTTTTTTAAGTTTATCTGGCGCCATCTATTGTTATATATATGCAACCTGAATCTAAAAACTAAAATTAATTAATTAAATTTAATTACTGAATTAATATTTGAAAAAAAAAAACTGTATTAACATCAAGTGTCATCCACTACAAGTTCAAAAAAAAAATGTATTTGAACTTGAGTGGTTGAATAAAAAGTATTTTATTAACGATTGAGAATTTGAACAAGATATAATGTATGGAGAGAGTGAGCTAATAGAAGGAATTGAAAAAGAAATTCAAAATATCCTTATTAAATTGATTTCTACACTGTTAATAAGTAAAACAATTATTTCTTCAACAGAAACCTTCTCCATAACTGTCCCTGAAGTCCGCCTAGTGTCCCAACTTCCTACGTCATCAACGGCGATCCAGCAGTCCTGACTTGCCACTACATCATTGATACCAACGAGGTGGTAACAGAGGTGGAATGGGAAAAAGACGACGTACTGGTGTACCTGTGGACACTGGACGAACCTCCAGAGGCCAAGGATGTGCTGAAGGGACATGTGGACCTCGACATCA